GGGGGTGGGGGGTGTCTCCTCCAGCTCGGGCGCACCCGAGGATGCCGTGCCCCCCACACCGCACCGCTCCCCCACCGTCTGCAAACGGGAAGGGGGCAGAGGCAGGACCGCCCCCGCCCCCAGGGAGCCCTGTGCTGGTGGGCGGAGGGTGGGTCCCTTTAAACCCGGAGCAGGAGAAGGGCTCCTGCCCTATAGCCGCCCTATGGCCTGCAGCCCCCGGAGCATCCCGGGCACCACCGGTAAGTGCTCCCCGGCTCTGGGGCTGCGTGCTCTTGCTGTTATTATTATTGTTCTCTAGGGAATGGTTTATTTTTTTGCATAATTGAGGCTGTGAAATGGGCCGAGAGGGGTCTTCTCCCCGCAGCTGCTCGCTCCTGCCTCTGCCCCAGCAGCTCAGCTGCTGGCAGCAGGTTTTCTCTGGAAGTGTTGCTGGTGAGCTGCCGCTGTTAACTCCCATTCCTGGCTGTTGAGAAACTCAGTGCTTGGCCCTTGCCTCTGCAGAGGGCTGTGGGCATGTGCTAGTACTCAAAACCCTTGTTCCCAGGGTCAGGTGTTCAGACGCCCAAGACAACTCTGCTTTAGTGACTCTCCTCCCTGTAGGCAGGTTAGAAAACGGGACAATGTTGATTCTACAGCTCCAGAAGCAAGGACAGAAAACCCCCTCCTTCTCTGTGCTCCCGTCTCTCCCTAACAGCCCTTATCGGGGCAGTGTGGCTGACGCTGCCCGGGCACACAGCTGCATGCAGCCTTGACGCTGCTGCGATGAAGCAGTGAATATTCCTCCCTGCAATCTGTGACCAGGTGGGCTCAGACCTCCTCAGGTTTGCAACAGAGTGTTTGTACTGGTTCAAAATCAGCTTTTCCAAGCCTGTCCCTGTTGGATTGTTTACCCCAAGAAGCTGATGTCCTGATCTGGCTCAGCTGTTAGTGCTGCTGGCATACCCGTCCGTGTCAGATGCAGCGTTAAGGCAGGGGAAAGATGAGCCCGTTGCTGCTGTGCAGAAGGTACCTGCCAGGTTCTCTTGCTGCATCAGGCAGGCTTGCTTCCACGGGCTGCGAGCACAGTAGTGAGGAGCTTGGTGAACTGTTAGGAGGGGGGGAAGCGTGTCTGCGTGCTGGTGGTGCTTGCACAGGGGCTCACTTGGGGGGCCTGGGGCAGGGCACGGCACCAGCTCCGGCGCAGGCTGCAGGAGCAGCGACCGGGTGGCGATGCCCATGTGTGTGTGGGAGCCTTGGGGAACCCATCTCCAACGCGCCTGTGCCCCATCGATGCGCTGCCCTGGGGGGCTGTGGAAGAGGCAGGAGCGGGTGGGGAGGCTGGGTCGCAGGCAGCATCTCCCCACTGCCTTGCCCTGCCCGCGGGCGGCACGGCAAAGCGTGGGGCCAGCTCTGCAGCACACACGTCCGAGTGGGTTTGTTTTGCCTCTGTTGGCTGGAGCTGGTCTGGATGCAGCGCCGGGGTCTGAGCTGTGAAGCTCAGCTGCTGCTGCAGGCGCAGAGAAAACAGAAACCTATGAAGTCTGGTTGGTGCTGAAAACGCTTCATTACTCTGCGCTAATGAATGGCTGATTCTGGGAATTTGAAATTCCTCAGCCGTGATGGGTGCCTTCAGACGAGCTCTGTCGAGAGGGTGTTTCTGGGTAACGCTCCCTCCTGCGGCTCTTAATTGCCGCTGGAAATAAAAACAGTTTCTCAACCAAACTTTACCTTCCCTGACGCAGACGTCGGCTTGTTATTGTAGGGTTGCGTGCAAGGACCATGTGCTGCTCTGTTGTTACAGGGCTGCAGCCAGCTCTTTCAAATGAGAAAGGGCTCACAACGCGCCTTGTACATGTGGCTTTTATGCGTTGCTTGGGGAGCTGGAGCTTGAACCCAGCAGGGCTGTTGGCTGGGTGTGAGCTGGAGGAGGGAAGCTACACGCGTGGCTGTCCCCCCTCCAGGCTGGCTCAGGTGGCCCCAGATACTGGGGAGCAGTAGGAAGAGCAAGCGAGATCCCAGTGCGGTTCCCAGTATGTCTTGTCTTTACAGGACCCGAGTGTTTTTAATAGTGGTTGCCGAACATCACTTATACCTGGAGCAGGATCCTGGCGTAAATCCGAAGGGCTTCGCAGACAGCAGTATCTGCACGCAGGATGTGCAAGGTTTTGCATCTATTTTTAAAGGCTTTTGCAGGTTTACGTTTGGCACGCGCGGCCTGGGCCTGGCCCTGCGGAGCCCCAGCTCTCCAGCGATGGGCTGGCAGCCCTGCCCGCTGCTGCGGGAGAGCCCGGGGGGGGAGGATGCACCGGCCACGGGGACGCAGCTGGGCGAGCACCGTGCATCAGCAGCGGGCCGGGGTGTTCCCAAACGAGGGGGTTTAGCGCCGAGCAGCCCGTTTGGGGGCTCTTCGGTACAAGAATTGGGCGGTGCTGCTATCTACCGGTGGGAAGTGGCACTGGCCGCACCGGCGGCCCGTGGCCGTGGCTCGGTGCGGGACCAGCCCTCCCCACGCGTGCTCGGACGGGGGCGATGGTGGCCGCCCAGCTCCCGGCATGTGCAGCTGGCAGAGCCCGGAGGAGCCAGGCGCAGCCCGGCCTCTGCTTCGATGCCAGCGACGGTTTCCAGCTCAGGGAAGGCACGGGCTGAGGTTTATCTGTGCGACTCGCGCGTAGACTTAATTACTTCACATCGTACTAGAAAAACATGTCCCGCGGTAATAGTAATGTAAACTATTGACCGCTGGCAAAGGACGGGGGTTTGGGGCAGCGTGGCAGAGCTGGAAACCCCGTCGATAGTAATGGAATTGTTGTATGTATCTGCTAGTGTGGGACAGGGATCAATTCCCTCCGATCGCGTTAGTATTAGCTGAGCCACCCGTCCTACAGAGACGGCTCTCGAGCTGCAGTTAGGTATTACCACCGTTTGCAAACAAATCGGGGGAGGCCTCCAACCCTGGCTCTGTGGCAGCGACCCTGTGGTGAATGGTACCTGCTTTTCTACTTCTTTTGAAGCTGCACCCACAAAAGCACACGCGCTTACTCTGGCTTCTGAATTGACACAGCAGCTTCAGTAAGTGACGCGAAGATAACGAAGTTCCTGAATGCCCTGCTTGGCTGGAGTTGTCTCAGTCCCCACAGCAACAACTTACTCAAGCTTATTTCACTGCCACTTCTTTTCTTTTGCGCTTCAAGAAATCCTATCCACAGTTACACTGAGCTTGTTCATAGAATCATAGAATGGTTTGGGTTGGGAGGGACCTCTAAAGGTCATCTAGTCCAACCCCCCTGCCGTGGGCAGGGACATCTTCAACTAGATCAGGTTGCTCAGAGCCCCGTCCAACCTGACCTGGAATGTTTCCAGGGATGGGGCATCCACCACCTCTCTGGGCAACCTGTGCCAGTGTTTCACCACCCTCAGCGTAAAAAATTTCTTCCTTATATCTAGTCTGAATCTACCCCCCTTTAGTTTAAAGCCATTCCCCCTTGTCCTCTCTCAACAGGCCCTGCTAAAAAGTTTGCCCCCATCTTTTTTATCAGCCCCCTTTAAGTACTGAAAGGCTGCAGTAAGGTCTCCCCAAAGCCTTCTCCTCTCCAGGCTGAACAACCCCAACTCTCTCAGCCTTTCTTCATAGCAGAGGTGTTCCATCCCCCTCATCATTTTCGTGACCCTCTTCTGGACCCGCTCCAACAGGTCCGTGTCTTTCTGAAGCTGAGGAGCCCAGAGCTGGACGCAGTGCTCCAGGGGGGGTCTCACCAGAGCAGAGCAGAGGGGCAGAATCACCTCCCTCGACCTGCTGGCCACGCTGCTTTTGATGCAGCCCAGGATACAACTGGCCTTCTGGGCTGCGAGCACACGTTGCTGGCTCATGTCCAGCTTTTCATCCACCATTTACCATATCAAAAAGTCGAACTTGCCTCCTGTCTGTGAGACGGTTTAGTGAACTAGCCTGGCTCCGCAAGCCCAGTTTGTGTGCTTTAAAACAGGGAGACTTTTCCCTTGCATAGCTCTTCCCACTTACCTTGAATTCAGGAATTCCATCTCGCTGTTTACATGCTTTAGCCACAATACAGAAATTACTTGCGTTCTTTTACTTCTGCACACTAACCTCAGTGCTCAACACCAGTGAAATCTTGCACTGAACAACATTTGTACTCAGCTCTTCAGGGGGTGAAATGCTTTTCTAGACGAAGCGGGCTCTGCAGATGTTAGGTCACAGTTCTGTTCAGATAACAGCGACTGTCAGTGTGATCAAGGAGACAAGGCTTCTGTTAGACAGACAAGTAGCCAAAGGCTGTTCTGTCTCAGTCAGCAAAGTAATGGCTACCAGCAACATCTCATCCGTGCTACACACAGGCAGGAGTGACACTTGAGCAAGGGGGTTATTTTATTGAAATAACATTCGTTCTCATTTACTAACCACCAATTAAATACAAATATTCAGCATTGCATACTGGCTGCACTAACAAGGCAGGGGTGCAGGTACAGAACTAAGAACACAGTACAACGGTAGCTGCCTTCTGCAAGCTGTTTCTGCGCTGCTAGTAAGAGCCTGAAGTCACATGTTCCAAGTCTGATAACACCTGACCTTGAGATGACTGGCTTTTTTTGAGTCGGATTGTTCTAAAGGCTGTCTGACCTCCAGAAAAGACATTCCATTCTACTTAGCACCAAGTCTAACTTTAATTTTACAGTAAGTATAAATATACATATTTAAAATCCATAATGTGAGTAATTTCTGAGCATTTATGTAGGACAAAGTAAAAAAATTAACAAATGCTAAAAACAGCTTTTCAGTATCCTCCTACAGAGTCTACCAAAAAACCAGTCAACACTGGAGTGTGTGAAGAATCACTTTGTAAAGTATAGTAAGTCTGAGAGCACTTGCTGATGTGTAGTTCTGAGCCTGATAAGGTTTAACCAAGTCTTACACCGGACTTGGGAAATGTGTGTGGGTCCCCAGGTTGCTACCTCACATGACCCAGCGGGATCCTAAAAATGCAGGGCTCTGCCTTCTGTAACAGTACCTGGCACCTGCTGCGGCTCTTACTGACGAATGCAAACGCTCACGCAGTGGAAGCTGTCCTCTTCGCGGCTCTGCTCTTGTCCAGCAAGTTCCTAAGTCTTTCTGAACGGTTACGTTCACCCACGCCATTGAGGAGAGTGCTGGTCCTCCCTTTGCTGTGGTTATTCTCCTTGGTACAAATGGGACCGTTAACTACAATGGCTACACGGGTCATTCTGTGCACGAGTTATTGGTTAAACTACGCTAACTGGGATCAAGAGCTTGAGCTTGTAGAGCTGCGGCAGCAGGGCAAGCTACAAGCCCTGGATATGTGGGGATGTTCCTGCAGAGGATTTCAAACTGCAGAACAGGCTTTACTGGACTTCCAGCCTAGCTCATTCTGCGCCGAGGCCTTTATGACAATGAAAAGCTGCCTTTCCTAAGGTTTAAGAGCACAAACACCTGGTCAGTAACAGCACAGACAGTAGCATCATTATTAACATATTTACAACATAAGTTAAAATGGCGGGGGTAGGGGATCCAGTACAAACGAGAAGCCGGTGCCATCCAGCCTCAGCACGGCCTAGCTGCTAATACGCTTGGAACAGACGGAGAGGCCCCTGAGGGCTACTGACACCTTTTTGTGCAAAGCAGCCTCCTGGAAAATCACTCTTCCCTTTTAAGGGGGTGCAGAGATGAAAGCTCTTCTCCCCCCGTTAAGACAGTCCTTGCTGGCTTCAGGCTAGACTCCGTTGGCGCCGGCCTTGCTGCTCTGAGATGCTTCCATTTTAGTCTAGGTGTAAGAGAAAGTTGCAGATTTTAGGCAGTACCAATACAAATGCTGCTTAAAATTCAAAACCTTTTGTGAAGAGGGTATCTTCCCATTTAATACAGGAGGCCGCTCTGGAGAGTAACAGCTGGCTAAGAACAAAGTTCTTCAGGGTAAAGGAGCATTCTCCTGTCGATGAAAGTCAGCCTGGACTCCCAAACTTGCCTGAAGTGGGCATCCTAGGTGTACACATAAGCAGCTAAATTGAAATAAAATAGTCACAGAACGAAAATGGGCGAAAGAAAAGGCAAGTCACTGTAGAAATACTTTTACAGATACAAAACGGCACTTAACACTATGGTGGTTCTGACGGAAGGCACGTCTATCCTAGTGGTCCAAAGCAGATTATTAAGGAGGAGTTCAAGGAAAAGGCATGCTGGTAATTCCCCACATTTGGGGAATCTGCTACCTTCCCCAATTTGACTGCAGTCTCTCAGTCACATGTGGTATTTTTGTATTTAACAGCCCTCAATGCAGTTCTCGTCCACAACTTCTCCAGTCGCTCCTTGAACTTAACATTCACAACATCTTGTAGCACAAATTTCCACAGTTTGTAAGTTGTGTGAAGAACAATCTCCTTTGGAAAGTCTAAGAATTTTGAAAAGCTTACCTCTCGTGGGGGAGGCTTCACTGACACTTCTGAGACTGGCAATTTCTCTGTTGGCTGAGATACAAATTCTTCATTCTTTAAGGAAAAAGCAGCTTTAAGTCACAGAACCCTCTCGGAAAACAAAGCTCTAGCTAGACCCTGTGCAGTCCCTTCTCCTTTCTGAAAAAGGCTGCTTCCTGCAATGCATGTTTATGTCGGCATTTCCATCATTTCCCCAATTTAACAGAGCTATTTGGAAATATTTCTAGCAGTTGACGCAATATTCTCCTTGAATTTCTGTTGCTGCTTTTATCAGCTTGGACTAATCTAAGGAATTCACTTCTGCCTTATGCTGAGAACCATATGCTCTGGTTTTCTTACTCTAGGTATTTTGGCTCCCTTTGTCCTGGACAACTCAGCCCAAGTTCACTAGGAGAGCTGAAAACAAGTCACCTTTAACTGGCTTCTCCGAGGTGAATGTACCTGGATTGAAGTCTCTGTATTTATGTGAATACAGCAACTTAGAAGCTTGTGAGTGCTCCTCTGCTGGAAACCAGTAACACGGTATTGAATAACCAGCTGTTTCCAGCAACAGGACAAGATGTGCCACAGCAGATCTCTGTACCCTTTCATTGTCTCTTGAGTCAGAGTATGCAACTGTGAGGCTTTCAGGCAAAAACATGCACACAGTGCAAGAATGCACATTGCTTACGTGCTCTGCGCAATGGTGTCGAACGCTGTTTTTTGTCTGGCTGTGGAAAGGTTTGTTCACACGCTCTTCCCAAAGATTACAGCACTACACACTCATTTTCCTACTTGTAGACTGCTATTTTCTAACCTTTCTTCCCTGTACAATGGGGGCAGGATCCACTAGGGTCTCTTGACCTTCAGGAATGGATGTCATGATTTCAGCAGTTTCATCTCTCTACGGAAGAACATATAGTTCAGTACAGTTATGACTTCAGTCCACTTGGAGGATCAAAGAACAAGATTCGTGTCACAGTGCTTCATTTTTATAATGTGTAATGGTTAAACTATTAACCTGAAAGTTTTATTCAAACAGCTCACCTTATTTTGTGGAACTGGAACAGATTGTGGCTTTACATCTATTAAGTACAAGGCACGGGAAAGCAGGAGCAGAGAAGGTGGAACATTCTCTTTTAAATGCAGATCCAGCCACTGTTAGAAGAAAACAGAAGGAAAAGTTATTTCATATTGGCTCTATGTCAGTACTTTTATATAGCACTCTTTGTCCTTAAAGATCTTAAAGCTATCTTGAGTTTGGCTAATACAGTTTTAAGTTACCACAATGAGAAGAAATAGTTTTGAAGAGTTAAGAATACCACATGGAATACACACTAGAGAGGAAGTTTCCAGCTACTAGTGAGGTACCAACATCTCTACTGACAAACAGCCAACAGTGAAAGCTAAGTACTTTGACTTATCTACAGCTTATCTGAAATACAGCACCTACAGCAGTTATCTGTGATCTGTTTGAATGCTTATAAAAGACTAGTGTTGGCTCTACTACAAGTCTTGGCTCCTTTAGAAGCTTAAAACATATTCTGCCCCCCTGCTTCATCTTGCTTCTAGCTGGCCCTGATGCTACTTGGTTTTCTCTTTAGTCTAAGACGTGATCTGGATACTTCATGCCTTAAAGCTCAGCTACACAGGTGAGGATCCAGCTAGAAACACTTGCATGAATTCTTGGTGAAACTGTGCCTGCTCTATCTGAACACCGCACGCCGTTCTGTCCTAGGAGAAACCTTGTCAAACGAGACCAGACCAGAGCGTACTCGCCTGTCTGAGCTGTTCCTTTAGTTGCTCCTCTGAGAGACCCAGTGATCGCATTCCTCTGGCTCTGCATGCGCTCTGCAGTTCAGACACGCTCAGGCCGTTGACTCCTTCCTTGGCAATCATCTGAAATGAAAAGGAACATTCCTATCTAGGCACAGAGTAAACCAAAACCCCGATGTACTTGATGACCTTGAGCCCAAGAAATGTCTGTTTAGGTAAATGTGCATAAAGTCATACCAATACAAAGATGAGACAGAAGTGGCTTTGTAGATAATTCATTCTGTCCTTGAAAGCTGACAGTCTTCAGCTACAGGGGATGAAAAACTTTGATCCCGATTATTTTGTTTTTCCCCCAGCTACTGAGAATTTCACTTTTTCATGTGATCCTATAGGTTTGGAGAATTCACCCAAAGACAGGTAACCCTGAGGATTGTCAAGGCTGCAGGCTTTAAAGCTGAACGTGTGGTTAGTTGCACATGCCTTTCAGAACTGGCCACCTCTTACTAGCAAGAAGTTTTCCGGTCTTTCCTCTGTGTCGTAATAGGATTCTTAACACCATTTCAAATTACAGTTCCAACACAATCATGAAGCGTAGGCTGGAAGGGACTTCTGGAGGTCCCCAGTCCAACCTCCTGTTCAAAAGGGGGTTAAAAGTTTCTTTACATTGCTCAGCCTTTTCCATTTATGCTTTGAGCCTCTCTAGGGATGGGGATTTCACAACCTCTAGACAACCCGTTTTCCACTGTTTACCCACTCACCGATTATTTTCCTTTTCTTATCAAGCTGGAATTTCCCTTGCTGCAACTTATGACCATTACCTGTTGTCCTTTCATTATGCACCTGCAAGTCTGGTTCCATTTTCTAAATAACCCCATTAGGCAGTTGAAAACAGCAAGCAGATTATTCCTTGGCCTTCTCCAGGCTCAATAAATCCAGCCACTTTATAAACTAATATAAACTCATGCTGAGTTCAGTTGGTTAAAATCTGGTGTTTCCATAAAATATTTATTCCAGAATTGGAACCTCCCTTTTTTACAAGTTAGTATGACTCCAGAATAAAAATATAAGGGTGTTCTAAACAGTGACAGTATCTGCAGTGCCACACTTGTTAGGGTTCCCCAAAGGCAGCAAGGGCGCAGGAAGGTGCACTCCCATTCTGTTTTTCTCTGGAAGCTCTCATGGGGAGAATCCCACTCCCATCAATATTAAACTTCACATCTGAGGACGGAGCGTGGGCAGTGACACACGCCTTATGTAAAGCAGGCAGTCTGTGATTCAGAGGGCGGAACTTGGGATTGTGAAAAGCGTGCATTTCACCAAAGCAGTACATCTGTGCTATTTTAAACTTACTTCATCATCTGCCTTGATAGTTCTGAGTCTCAGCAGAAGTTGAAAGCGGAGCAGATTGTTGGTGCCAATGGGCTGCAGCTCAAGCAGTTTGCAAAGAGCTACCAACTGCGGCCGTTCCAAGTGTTCCAGGGTCAGCTCATCCTCAAACAGCTTGGAGAAGCGTACGATCTCTTGGGTACTGGGCTGGTGGCCGGTGTGACGAATCTAAACAAAGCAGAGGCATCAGGGCCAAAAGCCAAACTAAAACAGAATCACAGTTTGTGAATCCCCTTCCCCCTCTAAGGAAGAAGCCCTTCCTGTTTCTCACACTGGTGTTCCCGTCTCTCGATGGAAAGAGAATGACATAGTTAAAAGGCCAAAGTGAAACAGTGTTTTTGAGGGGCAGCTTAAAGGATTTCAGAGGGTAAAACTTTCACTGTTGTTCCGGGATGGAAATGCTTGTCTGTACAGATAGCTCTGACAGATGGGGTCAAAAGCTAGCGTCAGTAGGGCATTAGCTGCAAGAGGGTATCCAGTTAACAATAACAACTGACAGGACAGCTCTGTGCAGTCAAATCTCTCTGCAATCTTTGTACAAAACCCATAGTCTCTGCCCAAAACAACAGCACTAAAGCTGGTGTAAGTAGGATAGCTGTCATCCCCAGCACAGCCCTTTACCTGGTGTACGTAAGAAGAGAATTGTTTTCCTTGCCCTGTATCTGCTTTGTTCCTTTTGGCCATCTCTGCAATGGTCTCCTGCAGGAACTTTGCTAACTCCAGCTTTGCATTTAGTTTCTTTTTCTGCTTTTCTTCCTTCATTTAGGAAATAAAACATAATTAGAAATTCCACTTGAAAATCAGAAGGGAGGGGATTCTGGGAAAGAGATGAAGTAAGACTGCAGTACTGAAAGCAAATAGGCTTTGGTTACTGTGGAAAATGAAATTGCTGTGCACTTTCGTACTGATCACAGTGCAGTCTTCAAATTCTGCTGTCCTGTCTAGGAACAAGCTGGGAATGTCTGACCTAGACGTGTGTGCGAGGCCGATACTCATTTACAGCAGCAGGCAGGAAACAACAGCTCTTTATGCAGTTGTACAGATGTTCTAATGAGCTGGAGGACACAGTCTACCTCTTCAGAAAGGACACAAACCTTTTTTGACTCAGTCTCAAACGTCGAGGGCAGCATTTCAGGAAAGAGTTTCAAGAATACAGGTAACAGAAATTCCATGAAGGGGACAATGACAAACACCAGGAAGGGAACCAGCCGGAAGAGATCTGCGCAAGTTCTCAGCAACTGTACAGAGAAGAGCACAGCAGAAACTATTATTCAACCCGACAAAAAAACGTATGTGTTCCAGAGAAGTGCGGAAACCGAGCGGTTAAACTTCTTTCATTACAGTAAGCCTCTTAATGCATCATTTTAGCAAGGGGTTCGTACGTCTGGCACTTACCCTTCGTCTCTCCCTCCTAGTGAGGACCTGACCATGCAGCAGCCTCCACACCATCCTGGCAGCCACCTTAGTGTCAATCCAAAGCAAGTGGAATCCATTGTAATAGTGTTTCAGTTCATCCACGATTTTTTGGCGTAAAGACTTTTTTCCCACGGGAGTCTCTATGACTTGTTTTGTTGGAGTTTTAGCAGGCTTAGTGCCCTGGTTTACGGTACTTCGGTGGGGCGGAGGTTCATCTCGGAGCTCCTGACGCAAGCAGGCGGACGTGTGAAACGTTTGCCCAACTTTAGCTGGTGAGTGAGGTAGGCCAGCGCCCAACCGCGCGCAGGGCAGCGATGGCTGGTTTCCCGAGTCTCTCACGCAAGTCCGGTTGAAATGAGAATCCACTAGTTGGACAAAAGCAACTGCTGGAGAGTATGGAGACTTGGAGTGCGCAAGAAGGTGGGAGCCTCTGAAACTGGAGAGGTATTTAAGCAAGTAATGGTGCATTGTGGCTAAGGTACCTAGGTGTTACACACAAATTAGCGTTCTTAGTGCCAAATTAGTCTCGTGAAATCGATCTTGTGGCTGCCTCAGTATCTGAGATTCTGATCCTTCGGCAATGGACAAAATATTGAGAATTTGTCCCATGCCAACGACGTTTCTCTTGGGGGAGAATAACTCAAGACTTCAGGCCGCCCCTAGGAAGCCCTTCTACCAGCTGCATTGGCTAAAATTTGCCAGTTGCAAACAAAGAAAAGCCAAAGACCCTTCTCCTCTGACCAAGCGTTTGGAACAGAGTTCTCTGTATTTCCTGCCCCGTCCCTCCCCCAGCAACGTCAGCTGGAAAAGACAGGCTGCACGCCGAGGAGAGGCAAGCGGTCAGGTAGCTTGAGCTGTTACTTATGAGAGAGCTCACAGACCGCTATGCGTTATGACAACTGCTGAAAGACATAAATCAAGCTTTGTACTTCTCATGTTTAGCCCGGTACTCTTTTGGAGAGTTACTCTCGTTTAAAGCATTGATATCGCACCCAACGCGTGCGCTGGCAAACATCGGAACAGCGCCAGTCACCTTAAATAGATCGCGGAAGAAAAGCGTTAGCGTGCCAGGGAGCCTCCTTGCTCCCTCAGGTGCGATCGTCCCCAGCCTGCTCCATCTCCAACCCACCGCGAGCAACAACAGGGACGCTGAGGCACGGAGCACCCGTAGAAACCAACCCGCGCCCTACCTCGGCCTGGCTATCGCGAGGAGCACGCTGCAGCCGCAGAAGGCCATGGCGCCACGGGAGTCATCGGCTCTGGCTGGACGTGGACAGCGGAGGGACCCTCATCTCCAGCAGCAAGGGCCAGCGGCCGGGGAGCCTCGGGGCGCGGGCGGTGAGCGCTGCGGCCCGCCGTGCCCTGGCAGGACCCGCCAGGCCTCTGGCACATCACCTTCCCGCCCGTGCCGCTGCCGTGGGAGCGAGGGGAGGCGTG